ACCCTAGAACAAATGGACTTTACAGACCTCTACAGAACATTTCACCCTAATAAAACTGAATATACATTCTTCTCATCAGCCCACGGGTCATCCTCCAAACTAGACCATATTCTAGGACACAAGTCTAACCTCAGCAAATTTAAAAGTATAGAAATTATTCCTTGTATCTTCTTGGACCACCATGGAATAAAAGTTGAACTTGCTTTTTCTCTCTTAGTGCCGGGCGCTAACTCTTTGCACTCTTTCATTCCGCTGCTGTCCGGCTCTCGGTATGGCCAGCATTATGGGTTTCGGAGACCTGAAAAGCCCCGCCGGCCTCCAGGTGCTCAATGATTACCTGGCGGAGAGCTACATTGAGGGGTATGTGCCATCACAAGCAGATGTGGCAGTGTTTGAAGCAGTCTCCGGTCCCCCACCTGCCGACTTGTGTCACGCCTTACCTTGGTATAATCACATCAAGTCTTATGAAAAGGAAAAGGCCAGCCTGCCAGGAGTGAAGAAAGCTTTGGGCAAGTAAGGCCCTGCTGATGTGGAAGACACTACAGGAAATGGAGGGACAGATAGTAAAGATGACGATGACATTGATCTCTTTGGATCTGATGATGAAGAGGAAAGTGAAGAAGCAAAAAGACTACGGGAAGAACGTCTTGCACAGTATGAATCAAAGAAAGCCAAAAAACCTGCTCTTGTTGCCAAGTCTTCCATTTTATTAGATGTGAAACCTTGGGATGATGAGACAGATATGGCAAAATTAGAGGAGTGTGTCAGAAGCATTCAAGCAGACGGCTTGGTCTGGGGATCCTCTAAACTAGTTCCAGTGGGATATGGAATTAAAAAACTTCAAATACAGTGTGTAGTTGAAGATGACAAAGTAGGAACTGATATGCTGGAGGAACGGATCACTGCTTTTGAGGATTATGTGCAGTCTATGGACGTGGCTGCTTTCAACAAGATCTGAGATCCATCTGCACTTAAAATAAAAGCTTGAAAGATTAAAAAAAAAAAAAAGTTGAACTTAACAGCAATGGGAATCTCCATACTCAAACAGAGTCATGGAAGCTAAATAATCTTAGGCTGACTGATAGCTGGGTCAAAGATGAGATTAATAATAAATCACTAAATTTTTGGAACTAAATGAAAACGAAGACACAAATTATCAAAACCTGTGGGATACTGAAAAGGCAGCACTAAGAGGAAAATTTATAGCACTGGAAGCCTCCATCAAGAAAACAGAAAGAGAGGAAGCCAACAACTTAATGGATCATCTCAGGCAACTGGAAAAGGAAGAACATTCCAACCCCAAACCCAGCAGAAGAAAAGAAATAACCAGAATTAGGGCAGAATTAAATAAAATTGAAAACAAAAGGATCATTCAGAAGATCAATGAAACAAAAA